AAAAAAACTTCATTAGTTGTAAATTGAAAAAGGACCAGGATAGTAACTTAGAACCTAGAGTTAATATACCAAGTTATTAAAACAAAAAGACAGAATCTGAACCCTAAAGAAAAACCCTCATGGAAAATGGATGGTCCACCAGAAGTGATACGAAATATGGAGTTCATCAATATCATGATTCAATGTAATCTAATGATTAGTGGCAAACAATATCTCAACCCAACAGAATAATATGACATAGATCTCTTTACTTCCATGTGTGCGAAATCAGATTGCCGAAACCAAGCAATATCGACACTTTTTAATAGAAAAGGCAAAACAAAATATTTGATTTCTTGTGAGAAAGTTGGCTACTAGAACATGGTCTTTCTAAATTCTGTTACCAGTAATATCCACTAATTATTTGCTTCATTGTTTAAACAATTTGTTCAACTGTTTGAACATTGTAAAATTGAATTCAGTTGTCATTGTATAGCCAAATATTGTCCAGATACAGCATGACAGCCAGGAAATCATGCATCTAATATTAGCAAGTCTTAATTGAAACTCCACTAGCAGCTCAAAGACAATTTTTATGGAACCTAAAGTCTAACATTAAAAGGACCATCATTCATCGTTTAATGTGTCATAAATTGCATATTTCTCTCATAGATTATCATTATGTGTTCGCACACTGTCCAAAATCTATTTCAGAAAAAAGAAAATATTTTCAAAATAAGGAGCAATTTTTATGATACTTCACTCACTTGGAATCCTAGTGCAATGAGATCTTTCTCTGATGCATCAGCTACAGACCTGGAATATGACAAGAGATCTAATAAGGAGTAGCCAAAAATCATCAGAAATTGGCATCAATAAAAAAGCAAATAAAGCACCTTAACATTTCAAGAATATTTGGCCAACTGAAGTGCAATTTCTCCCCATGCCTCTGAACAGTTGCTCAATGCTTAGTTAGACCAAGAAATGCATAGTGAACCATGAAGGGGAAAACATTCTGAAAGAGATGACTGAGAAATTTACCTCTATAACATGCAAAAGAATCTTCACAGATCCAAGCCGAACATCGTAAATTTGTGATAAAGAATAAAGGTTACTTAATGGTGAGATGACAGCACATTCCAGTGATCTCAACTTCGATTGGACAATTAGCTTCCAGAGCATTTAAATGACATGATATGGTAAGTACAACACCCAAACAACAAAAAAAACGAAGAAAAATGAAATAAAAGATAGAAATAAAAAGTAAAGAGAGAAATTCTCACATCAGTCGGTGCATCAACTGAGTTTGATGAAGCATTCTCCTGAAACTGATCAGAACCTAAGACAGCAGATATGGATTTATCTAATGCATCAAGGGCCATAGTTTGTAGTAGCGGATTGGAACTATCAGCAAGCTGCAAAGCATGTTACAAGTGTCACTAGGGAGAAAGGAGTGCACATTTGCGCTAAAGACGTAAAAGATTACCTCAAGGAAATGACCAACGATGTCATCCCATAAAGGTTCCACCCCTGTCAATGTAATGAAAAAAAAAAATTAGTGGCTGATACACAATGGTTCCAAATTACCCCAACGACAGTTACCACAGTGTCAACTATTTTGGTACGCATCAGGTATAGTTTTGAGACAACAGTGTGAGGTGTTCTAGAATATGACAAATCAATAACTAATGCATATAATGCTTAGTTCTTACTTCTTACAGACATGTTCTAGGAACTCTATGAAATTAAGTACAAAAGCAAAATCACTTGCACATATTCAGTCAAGACGAGTGTCATTTAATAACATCAAAAAACACCTCTTCAAGTCTATCCAATAACATTTCAGTGGAAACATCGAAGATAGCTTTTTATTTTGTTTCTGTTCTATTGTTTCTTCATACAAACACTTTTAACCTATCAATTTAGATAGTACCCTCATATAAACCTGTTTACCCAACATGCTTAATAAAGAGTGGTAATGAGGGATAAGATCACACCAGAGAGAGGCATGTAGACATAGATACTCCAATAAACTTCCAACCATCTTAGATTAGAGAGGTAACCAACTTTTAGTAGACTGAGTGAATGTACAATGCAAAAGACTAAAGTAACAACTGAGATAGCATATAAATGGGAAGTAAATAGTCGGGTATATATAGGAGTATCAGTTTCTGTTACCATCTTTTTGCGAGACTAGTGGAGAAAAATGCATCTGTGGAAATGCAGCACATCTAAATGCGGGAGTATAAGAATAACAAATGATGACACAAAAGGAACATCATATCTACAAAACTGGTAAACGAACATACTGTGAAGATTATTGTTGAGGATGGATAGTATTCTGTCCACAGAAAAGCTAATGCTTCCAATTTTCTGATTAGATGCCGGCCCAATGTTACTCAAAGTTGCTATACATTGACGTGACAACTGACAAAGAGCAGAAAGAAGTGACTGAACCGCTGACACGTGCATCAAACCTGAGCTCTCGAAAAGCTACAAAAGATCAGGAATAACGAAAAGAGGCAAAGATAAGTACAATCAATATAATGCACAGAAAATGCATAAGGAAATAAAATACTTTAAAGAACTTGCCTGAGAGTTCAATGAAGAGAGAATACTAAAGTCACTATATTGCCCAGATAGATCTCTAGAAAGCTTTGGGACTGCTGTTGAAACTTCCTACAAAATTTAAAGTCCAAATTTGGAGAATAGCCATGAACACGCAAAGAGGAATTTATGAGGGCAACAAGAATATCCGTGGACAATTATGTATACATCATTTGAGTAGTGAGACAAAATTTATGACAACAACAACAACAACAACAGTCTTTTAGTCCCAAGCAAGTTGGGGTAGGCAGTGAGACAAAAAATAATATATCCAGCGATTTTGAGTCGTGATACTTTACAAGCTTTAATTATTAAAGCTGTGTCATTCTCTTCACAAGGACAATAATTTTATAATTTGCAGCAGTTGACTTGATGCAGCTGGAAAAGGGGAACAACAGTGAGATTTGTATAAATTACAGAAAAAGAAATTGCACATTATATGCAAGAGAAAGCCTGAAATATATCTTGGTAAAAACGAGAAAAGGGTTATGATTACTCAGCTTTACTGAAATCTAACTGAACTAATTGTTACTAGTATGATAGGCAACATATGATTTTTGAGTCGTGATACTATAAAGCTTCCATTATTAAAGCTGTGTCATTTTCTTCATAAAGACAATACTTTTAGAATTGCAGCAGTTGATTTGATGCAGCTGGAAAAGGAAAACAACAGTGGGATTTGTATAAATTACAGAAAAAGGTAACTAAGAGAGATGATCAAAACAAACTAAATTCAAAAAGGATTTCTTTATTACTTAACAGCATAGGGTTACCTTGAATTTTCATCCAAACATAACCATTATTTAAAGTATTACCTGTGTTGTCGCATGAGGAGAATGTATTGCTCGATCAAGAGCAGATAGAGTTTCCAAAACCTCCAAAACATAAGGGGAAAATCAAATACTAGAATCTGAAAATAGTCTTAAAGCATTTTAATGAAAAATATTAACCTACCAAAACCCATGATGGACCCAATACATTATGCAACCTGTGAGCAATGTTGAAGAGAGTCCTTAAAGCCTGCACATGCAAGTATTGATAATAAAACCATAAGTTGTTAAGCAAATAAGAAAAATAGATATACATAAAAGAAAATATTCAAATCAAGATAAAATTAGAAAAGAAATAAATAGAAAGAACCTGCACGTTTTTTGAAGTAAGAACAATGTTCTCCTTCTGGCCACCTAATTGTTCAGCACGTTTTGAACTTGGCGACAGTAGAACACTACATAAAATATTGAGAAGCTGATTGTTAATCTGAATATTCTGGAAACATTTTGAAGAATGTTGAGCATAGAAAAATAAGTAAACACCTATACATAATATAACACTGAGGACTGAGCGCTTTCCATTTATAGGTTATTTGTTCGACATAACATAAAAGAAATAGCATACCAGTCAATACACAAAAAGAGAAAAAGGGGTTCAATGGCTATCAAGATAGATCTTGAAAAAGCATATGACCGAATCAAGTGGGACTTTCTACATTCTGTTCTTGAAGAGATTAGACTTCCTAACTCTTGGATTAATCTCATAATGCATATTGTCCTCTACCAAAAGATTTGATTTCTTATGGAATGGTCTAGCGAGCCTTCTTCAGTCCGTCACGAGGAATTCGTCAAGGGCAACTTCAATCCGCTTATCAATTTCTCTTAGGCTTGGAGAAATTATCCAATTTAAGAAATGATGCGCTTTCCAAACTTTGCAATTGAAAATTGAGATAGATAAAGGTCATATTCACACTTGGGATAGCACCAAAATAAAGGATTAATTTCAAGTTTATACAAAATGTTAATTGTGACATAAGTTAGGTTTCCTAGTTTTTTCACAGGGCAAAACCGGACCGGGAACCAGTCTGTTGATCGGTCCAGTTTGCTGGCATAAACCGGTTGCCAGCTAACGGTCAAGAACTGGTCAGAACCGGCCAAAAGTCGGTCAGTAGACCAGTTAAACCAATCCAGATTTTTTATAATAAATTATATATTTTAAAATATTTTTATATAAAAAAATACATATTTAATATATAATGAATGTTTATAAATTGTTTATCAATTAGTTTAAACATTTTAATATTTTGAATAGTCTACTCATGTATACATATTTAATATATAATGGATGTTTATAAATTGTTTATCAATTAGTTTAAACATTTGAATGTTTCGAATTGTCTAAATATTTAATTAATCATGTTTTAATATATAAAAATTATTATATAAAGTATTATATATATTTAAAAATATTAATAAATTAAACACCCGTCCAACGTCCAACCAGTGAACCGTTGAACAGTAGCTTGACCGGTCGTCAAACCGATCCAGTTATGAGAACCTTGGAAAATACTTATACCAGCCACAAATAATGATAACTCAAGACACTTCCTTAGATAAATATGGGGAAAACAAGTGTTGAAGAAATGAATTAAGTAATTAACGCAGTCAAATGGTGAACCTCGTGGAACCTGGTTTCGACACAAGAATAGAACATTATTCTCATAACACACCAAATGAGCATCTCAAGTGTGACATATCCCCCAAATTTAAAACTACTTAAACCAGAAACCACGAGGAGTTACTTTGTAAACAAAGTTATTTCCCAGTTATTATGATACCATATTAGATAGTCATTTGAAATTTAAGGCAACACAGGTAAAGACTTTGCAAATGGTTTCAGAAATTTTTCTTCTCAACAGTATATGAAATGACCCTTTTCCTAAAGGGAAATATTCATGAGACAATTTGGGATTCCAGGACCCATGTAATATCAAACTATACGACAAGAGGAAATGCTTAGGAGAAATCTTTCATTGATTTCAAGTCTTACAGGGTTAGCAACATAGAAATCCTAGAGAACATTAGAAAGAACAATGAATATCAAAAATGTTGAATTTCTCTTGGAAAACCCACTTCTAACAGAAAAAAACTACATTGGGTGTTCTATTTTCACCTTAAACCAACCCACCAGTTGTGATTTGCAAAGTCCAATTAAAAGTAACTAATAAAATCAAACAGAGACCTAGAACGATATCTAAGAATCGGCTCTTAAATAACTCGTTCTAGTATAAAATGATGTTAGTCACACATTAGATGTAAGAAAATATTTTCTTCTTATCTAGGTATGTTCAAGTGTGTGACAGTTACTTTCAAGATGCTAAGGATAAGATGCTCCATTGGTGAGCCACAGCAAGGCAATTTCATAAAAGATGAGTGTTGTAACTTCCCAAGATTAGAAGAGATAAATCTAAGATGGGATGGGAGAGGGATAGCTGGACATTATTCACTCCATAAAGGTCCCTTGACCATATGTATTAAATATCGGTAGACAAGATTAAATGCATTGAGGGTCTAAACCATACTAAATATTGGTAGACAAGCAATCTCTAAATCCAGGTCTTCACCAATGTAATGAAACTTAGAAGTAGAGTGAACAACCATGTTCCCCAGAACAGCAAGTTACCGTAAACTACTTGACATGAAAGCGAAAGAATTTATAATTGCCACGCGAGATCAAATAACTAATACGGAAATACTCATGAGTTCAAGCAAATCCCAATTTGATTCAAAGGAAGATGTCTTCACATATTAAAGATGTCAAAAGCAACAGTATCAAAGAGTAGGTACATTTCTTATCTAGAATCACAATGCACCAAAATTCATCAAATATTTCAGGAAAGAAGTACCTCTTTTTTTCAACTTCATTGGGGATATAAATTGTGAACTTGCAAAGGGACGCAAGAAAAGAGTTTAACGGTTCAACAGCATGAAGAACTCCACATGCCTGTGCAAAAATCAGTGACACTCAGCTGACCCATAGATTATTGCAGTAGTTTGGCAAACAATGTAACACTGATTGCTCAAAAAACATTAGCTAGGGGTGCAATTGCAAATTTGCAACTGATCGGCAGAATACTGTCTTAGAATTTAGAAACAGAAACTTCAAACAAGAATCTATTTACATGATATAACATCTTATGGAAGATAAAATTACCTGCGTAAAAGCTTGGTAACCTTTCAATATCTCCAGTATAATAGCCTCACCCTGTGATCTGTGGTTGACTAGATATCAGACAGTACAAATTTCAATTCCATAGTAATAATATAACATGAAGTTATTAACTTACTTCATCAAAATCAGGGACAAAGCATCTAGTATTGTTAACCAAGTTGAATCGACTATCGAAATACAAAGTGTTGCAGTTATCCCAGCACATTTTGCGGGTGGATCAGTATCACATCTGGGGGATTCAAGCTGATTGCACCAAGAAAAAAAATACAATACAGAAATCAGTAGCTCATAAAGACACTTATTATGAGATACAAGATAAATGGAGCAACAAAATTAGGCAGTGATTCGGTGTATCCTACCTCACCATCATCCACTGCCTCATCAGTCAAAGTGGCAACAGCAAAAACAACACCTAACAGACCCTCAATTGCTAAACTGATAGCATGTGCTTCGCTAGCGACCAAAACAGTTGCATTAGATGCATCAGTGTCCAAGCTCCACTCGATACCTGACATGATACCAAGCTCCACATATCATTTTGGCGACCATGCTCAATGAAAGTTATCGATAACTAAAACGCATCAGCCCAGGAATTAAACCAGTCATCGCTGAGCGATAGGTAAAATGGACTACTATAAGTATCAGACTCTTAACTCTTAAAGTGATTCTTAATTAGAAAACAGAAATTGGAGCTTCATTACATTTCGAATGAAGTACAAATCTGGTGCTATATAAAACTATAATCACCATCTTATTACCTATCCACCAAAAGCTAAAGTTATTCTGGAAAAGAATCTAATGCCAATTAAATGCCTGTATGACAGAGAGTGTGAGCCACACCCCCAATAGGTCTGTCAGAGAATCACTTAATGAGCTTCTTTATCTGTTGCTGCTTTATCCTACACCTTACTACATCTAATCCATTATAATAATGAGAGTTAAGTAGATTACTGTCATTACTTATTAGTTCATATTGACTTTTTTTTGTTATTCTAAATCCACTTGGGTAGAAGGAGATTCTTTCTGGAGAGAACTACTTTTCTGTCATTTGGATCCTTAAGATACGATGGTATACTTTTACTACATAACTGTAACCCAGTCACAACCAAGGTATCAGTCACACCATCTATGTAAAGATATTGTAAACTGAGGATATCTAATGCATGGTGTAATTCATAGAAATCATAATTCAAATCAAATATAGTATGGTGAAATTCATAGAAATCATTATTCAAATCAAACGTGATTTGTGTTTCACAGAGTAGTAGAAGATGCAATACAATAAGATTAAAAACTTAAATACCTAAAGATCACTCAAATAAGGGTGCAATTAATCAATCTAGACTCCTCCCTTCTTAGTCTGCACATTAAAATTTTCTTTATCTCGTGTGTCTGAAAGTGTGTATATTACCTTTGGCTTTACTGCTAAACATTCCAGCAACAGCAGCAAGACTCTCCTCGCCAGTTTCTAGGTACTATAACATTAACCATAGAAACTGTTAGTTAAAACTTTGCAGTATGATTTTTTAAACTATACAATTGCACAATCAAAGCAGCATGCAAGAGGAGATGAACAAAATAAAAGCTAAAATATTAAAAAACAAAAATCGACATGGACAGGAGCAGTTTATTGTCTAAAGCACTTAAACACCAACTTCAGAAACAAGAAGACCTCCATAAGACGAAAGGAAAAATTATCGAATTTATTAACCAAGTAAACCCAAAAACGTCATGTTGTTGTGCCAACAAGCAAATACTTATGGTCACGCAATCATCTTTGTATAATATTTTTAAAGAGACAACACTCTGTTCAATCTCTACACTCTATACACTAGATGATGTTTCTAGGGCATGGCTATACTCTATAGTATCCTTTTATAATAGTATATATAATGCAGTGACGTTCACTACTAGCCTCTAAAAAGCTCATCACGCTCAGCCTCACAATGTCAAACTCTTGCATTGAGACTAGCCTTCAAACTTAATCTAAGCACAACTTCTTGCATCAATATCAAGAGAACTATCCAAGAACTTGTACTAAGCGCGATGATACAGTAAACTTCCTAAGTCCTTACAGAAGAAGAAACAATTCCGTTTGCTGGATCATTGAGAATATATTATAATTCAACAAAATTACATCAAGAAATGCAATGAACGTGAAGTGTTGGCTATTGCCAATCTTCTTAGATATATACGCAAGCATCAAATCAACCCCAAAAGCAAGTTTTAAGCTACTTGAAATTATATAATTCTCCGCCATATATACAGAGCAATCATTCAAAACATTTAGCATACTGAAAGAGTACAACTCAAAGGCATCTACAGAAATTATATACATCAAGAAATGAAGTGGATCTCTAACCTGCACAGAAGAAATAACGCGGGCAAGAGCTTTAACCATGCCCTCAACCACATTTGAGTTACTGGGATTTCTGCAATATACACAAATAACTATGACAACTTATAATATATGTATGTATAAGCAGGAAAAATAACTTCTTCTTTTTTGTCAAAGGAAAAATGTGGGAGGCATTAAACCAGTTAATTACTTATCCAATTCGTTTAAGTTGTATGAAAGTCATACACAGAACATGGTTTACTACTTTAAACCTTGATGAACCTATTTCACTCACATGAATTTATCATGCGATCCTAGAGTGGCCAAATCTTTCCAAGTAATTAGCAGGCTTATCACATCAACAAAAAAGTCGGTTGGAGAGTTCCATGATAATAGAAGGAACAAGATAGGCATTAAACAACAACAACAACATACCCAGTATATTCCCAACAGGTTGGGGTCTGGGGGGTCAGTTGTACGCAGACCTTACCCTTGTAATTATACAAGGAGGCTGTTTCCGTAGCGACCCAAGGTGCATTGCGCCGTTTGATATATTTTTTTTTTCTAGAAACTTCACTAATAGAAGAAGCACTAGAATTTAATTGAGCCATTTTGATCTGGTCCATTATTAAAAAAATATATATCTATGTGTGTGTGTGTGTGTGTGTTTTGAAATCCTCCACATAACAGAAAAAAGATTCAAAGCCCTGAACTTTATCTAACGCGTAACTCACATGAGAATCAGGGCGAAATCCAAATAGTGAGGATCACCTAAGGTAAATTCCAAACTTGTGGACAAATATGAGTGTTGTTTGAAACTGGATAATATGAAGCAAAATGTAATGAAAAGAGTAATCTAAAAGTAGGAGTGTAGGACATATGTTGACACGCAAAAGGAATTAGCATTGTGTTCAGAGACAGTTGATTAATCATAATTACCTTGCATAAATTTACAAAGATGAAGGTGTTCTTAATGAGAAATTCGCAATAGAGCGATTTTACAAAATTGAAAACTGGTTCCCACTCCAAACTCTGATAATGAACAACTATCTGTATATCTTTTGTAATTATTGCTTTAAATGTTAATGCGACAACACAATAGGAAAAAGTTAAAACCCTAGGCCTCCTTAAAAATCTCTAAGAATATTTTCCCGGTAAAACTTACAAGAGATAGATCAAAGCAGATAATGCATCATGTACTTACAAGTCAAAATTCTGAAAAAGAATGCGCAATGTGCGCGCTTCCACACAGAAACCCTGTGAAATTGCAAAACATTACATTGTTAGCCCAAACCACTTGTTCTTCGATGCAAACACTGTATACCAGCAAAAAGCTTTTGCTGTGTAAAGTTGTGGACCTGTTGGCATTACCCTCAAGATTTCAAGGACAAGAATGCGATGCCACAGTGGTAGATCAAGAGCTATAACCCGCACTAACATACTGAGGAACACCTGTTCTTGGAAAAAATATAAAAATAAGAAATGTACTGATATTAACAGAGAACTGCACAACCACAAAAAAGATGCAATACCTCTGATTCTGTTGTAAGGGATGAACTATAGAATCTAATAATATGGGCCACAGACCGCAATACTAAGCGGCGAAAGTAAGGCTCCCCTATCTCGCCTTCAATCTTCATAAGATTCGGGGATTGGTAAGAGGGGAGAGAGCATTTGTTAGAAAACTTATCGAACTGCAAGGTGATCATATACACATGAATTGCAAAATCATTCTAGAAATATTACCTCAGAGTTGGTACGAAGTGATGTCATGAGAAGTGAGCATATTTGGTGGCGCAGAACCTGTCATTTTTAACTATCTATTAGATAATGACAATGAACATACAAAAACTCAAATCTCAGCACCATTTAGTTCTATCTGTACCTGTTCGAAAGGAATCAGCGTCCGGAAGAGAACTACATAATTATACAATATGAACCTGAAAATTGCTAGAGTTGTTAAGATTATTCACACCCATCATCAATATAATTGAAGCATCGTATGAACTGTCGTTTCTCCCATAGGCTATTAAACGCAATAAACCAAATCCAACAGTTCATTAAGAAGTGCGGAGCAAATAGAAAGGGAAATTTTCCTACGAACAAATTGCATCTGCATGCGTTCCCTCTTCCATGAACAATCATAATCACTAGAGTCATGATTACGAAAACAAATGAAAAGATTTCTTTTCATTACAGATTGTAAGTAAATAGTGATATTAACAAGAACTCATGTACACCTTAAGACAAAAGCCAAATGAACCACAATCCACACAACTCCATTATTTAACAATATCAGGCACAAAGAAAGTTCCAAAAATGATTATGATAAGAAATCCATTGTGCAACCCTAAAGTCTAGCACAAACTTCTTCTGGGTTTTCCTTCTATCTTTATTCTTCTATTTCTTTCCAACCAAAGAGACCAACACATGGTCTGCCTATCGCTATCCAGAAAACACTTAACAAAATTTGCTGACAACTGAATAACAATTGGAAACAGATGATCAGAAAATCAACCAATCATGTATGTTCAACCAATATATTACATCTTACAAAAACAGCTGAAGAGAGTTATTATGTTAAGTACTTTACTGAAAGAAGATTTCCATTCCACCAATTTAAAACATAAGAATATAAACAATAACAATTATCTCCTTACTCGAGTAAATCAAGTGCAAATGACCGCTGAACGGAACCAACACGTAACCAAATAGCCTGAAAAATCATAGGAACAACCATGTTAATATATAATGGGTGTCAACTAGAGTTTCACGAGGGGGAAAAACAAGAGACATTTTATTTGAGTTTAAGGATATCAAAATTTGACTTTACTGAAAATGCTGTATATTGATTCAAATCCAGCACATACAGATCCACCTGCAGCAAGAGTTGTCAAGTCTTCAAGCAAGCAAAGTCCAAGTTTCCCCGCTTTTGTTAGAGTGCCCCTCATTAATGATGCCCCTCCGGCAGTAACATCCAAATCCAGCAACCTAATTGTTCGTGCATCAATTATTTTATAATTGTGCTTGGAACAACATTTTACTCATCATCTCTATCATGACCCAAAAATAACATTTCATGGGCACAAAAAATGCCAAATATATAACCGACATGTTGATAGGATGCTCTAAATCTTTTCGTTGACACTACAATTATGATAACTAAAACAAAATGAATGAGTTACATACTCAAGGCGCTTTATGTTGCGATTGACATCACTAGTTACAGAATTTGTTCGAGAAGTGTATCCTCCAGAACCAAATCTGCCTGCTGGTAGTGATTCTGCATGCAGCACGTGATCAAAGATCAACGCTACTGCTTGCCTGAATGTTGCTGCAGCCGTACTGGATAATATCCCAAACAAAATTTATATAAATATTTCTTAGGGAGACATAGTAGCAGCTGGAAGATAAGGAAAAGAGGAAAAGCTTTCCAGGTGCAAACATGATTCAATAGTTACTCACTTTCTCACACTGTCGGATGACCTATTGTTTTCAAGGAGTCGGAGACATATACCAAGAGCATGAGCCATATTCTCCTGCCAACAAAGGAACATCAACAGGCAATGGAATTAAGTAAACTGGAAACATCCTCTAAAGACGTGCCAAGTGATTTCCTGTTAGAACTTGTCTTTTTAAAGAGCTAGATGAGCAAATATCCAATAGCAACTTCAACAGGATAATTAATAGATTTCATGTGGCAAGAAAAGTATGTCTTCATCTCACCAATTGAAGTCTACAGATCATTGTAATACCACATTTATAACTTGCATGGAGTCTAAAAGAGTAAACCAATGCAAACTTGGACTATACATGAAAGGAAAGATGCAATGGAAGAGCCCTCATGTCAAGTCACATAATATTATTTATAAGAAGCAAAGGCATTTTATTAGCTACAAAGATTACTCAAGTGGATGAAACATCGAGTTCACAGAGATTAAAGTACAATCATCAAAGTGCTGTATTCGAATTTTAAGTTTAATCACACCCAAAACAAATAACTAAAAATTTTCTAGAAACCCATAATTACACAGTTGCCACCATGGATTTGATTCTTACCAAATGTCAAGAACAGAGACTTTGCGATCCTTCTATTCTTTTCCAATCAAATCAATCAGCATATAAAATGATTGTCATCATGTATAATATTTTGTATTTGCACTTTAGAACCAAATTGTCACAATATTTTAGCTATAAGTCTTTCAAAAGAAACTCAAATTCAACAATAAATACCAACTGTAATTTGAATAAGCTATCCAGTTAAGGTCCACTAACCACAAACAAAATTGCAACAAAAGGTCTTTTTCACTCTTTCCAACAACAACAAAAATTGTACTTTCATTCACAACAAATCTTCAGTATTACATACACTTCAAATTCACATCAACAGAATCATTTTTTGTTTCCTACTCATGCCTCAAGATTGCAGACTATCAACAACCATAAGATCCTCTTATATTCCATAGAGTTCCCTGCACTATTGACATGAAGCAAGAAAGGGTTTTCATCTGATAACCTTGGAATTTAGTCTGATAACACAAAATACAAATCATAGTCATTAAAGCCTTACTGACTTCTAGTTAGCCGAGACCATGGTCTTTTGCTTCCTTATCGCCTAGGCCCCACATTTTGAGAGGCAAAATGTAGCTTCTAACGGATGTTGTCATGTTGATATTATTGACTACTTGACAAATTTTTTTCTGGATTGGTATCTGATATAGCAATTTTTTACACTACCGACTACTCTTTTTAAGTTAATTATAGGACGAATATAAGAACATAACATGTTTCAGGTAGCTGTCACATTTACATGGCCTGCCCGTTGCCTTTTCATCCATTTGAACTTTGTAGTTTGCACTATCTTAATTATCCATATAACAATATGTTTTTCACAGATTGCATTTGCCAAAAAAGCAGATAGTCTTATATTATAGTGGATTGGCGAGAAAACAATAAATTAAAGAAATGAATATCTGAATATGTTCAAAAAATTTCTCTGTAAATACTAATCATGGTGCCAACTCCTATTTTTTAAATGAAACTACAACACTGAAACTTCTTTCCCATTGCAAGAGAAACATTCATGAGACATAATCAACAAACTGATCAAGAGAATAAAACTTTTGTGTCAATTTAAAGTTCATGAATGTAACTAGTCACATGTATAATACAGCACAGGCAGATCCTAGCTCTTGCTCCAATACATAGCATTTGTAATGTAACCAGCTTATAAGGAATCATGATTTTAGTGTCACCTCATTATCAGGCTGTAGACGAGATTGAAATATTATTAGGATGGTTTGCAAGGTCTTCAGCTGAATGCTCTCATCTGCCATCTCACCATGCTGGAAAAGATGAGACAGATGGATAAGGGACGTGCACTTAAACATGCGGTGTCTTAGAAAACTGATTGCTGCAATATAGACACATCTAACATCCAAAAATAACACTCAATGCAACCTCCCAAAAAGATATATTCTCCAAAACTAAAAACAAGATAAAAGCTCATAGAAACAATGCAGACTGTATGGTTGGTAGACCCTTGGAAACAGGCATGCATATAGTGTCGATAGCTGAATTCCAATTCAAAAGTAGTTAGCATTTTTATGGCAAAGTTAAAAAAATTGGACCAGCCATAGGTGAAGCTACCCATTCAATAAATTCTTTTTAAATTTTAAGTTATAAATTAAGAAACAAACATGAGAAAATAATACGAAAACATATAACACGTGTGACTAAATTAGTCAATGAAAAAAACTTATACATGTGGTAAAGTTACATATGTGTTTTTGTGAAGATAAAAGTATTTAAGATTACATTATCAAATATTAGGCAAAAAAGTAAGGTTCAACCAATTCATTGCACCGGTTTTGGTGTGGTTTTTTACCAATTCTTCGACACACGGCTCTTTGGCAAGAATTGGACAGGTGAATGGACAGTTCTCATCCCACTGTTGAACTGGTCAGGAACTATCTTTATAGGGAAGAGAGTTTCCATTATTTTACATAAGATAAACATGCCTCTTTCCTAATGGCTATGAGAAGAACGGTTATTAACAATAAAGATAAAATACCATTTAACATACAATGTCCTTCTAAGTTCAAACTAACCAAAACTCAAGAAGATATGGATGGCCTTCAATAAAATGACTTCACGAAATGTATAAGTCGGGGGAATGCTATATACAGTATTACCACAAATCAAGTAACTAACAAAACAGACAAAAATTTAAATTTCCAGCTTACTTCCTTGAGAGTAGGAAGTATCTCCGTCAGAGACGAAGGGGCAATAGCATCATGAGCAATGAGCTTTTGCAGACAAGAAAGGCCAATCACACTCAGCTTAACATTCTTAACCTCACAAGCCATCACAAATATCCTGAAAATGTCCTCGTTGTGGGCAATCTCATTGGGGCTCGCCAGTGATCTAAGCTGAAATTCATATCAGCTAAGTTGTCAGCTAGGATTACAAGATCCTATAACCTCAAACAGATATTCAAGTGCTCATCTTTGGGGCAACAATAACATATCACTATGTTCCCCAAGTAATTATGATTAAAAAAATGCAATATTTTGCGAGTTAGATTGGGAATAACCGACATATTGGAAAAACAGAAGGCAAGAGTCACCTTTAGGATGGCATGTTCCGCGGCGTCTTTGACAGCGGGATAACGGCGGCGAGCCTCCGCCGAAAGGGCCCTCAGATCAGACTCTAGGACGGTCATGAAAGCCGCCATCATCGTTCAAGAGAGCAGCAGCTTCCCCCTTTTAATCTTTGTTGTACCTATGAGCTTTCCCAAGCTTCTTTCGACTTTAATGAGTTAATCGTAGATCTGCATCTACTGAGACTGTCAAAAAGACATGGTTTTGTTGAGTCTAACGTGAATATGGAAAAAGGCAGAAGACAATTCATCTCTCACACTCCCCTCCAAAGTTCCAATTCCAAAGCCACCCCTCGGTTTTTTTTTTTCTTTTTCTTTTTCTTTTTTTTTTCCTTCTTATCCTTTTTAGCACACCCTTTGTAATCCTTATAATACCCTTTGGGCACGTTTGCGGAGTTATCTCGATTCTGGAACAAAAAATAATCTACCAGTGTTTGTTAATAAATAGTAAAAATTAGATAAGACTACCAAACATTAGATAAGACATATTATTGGGGGAAGTACCACAGGGTGACCGGCATAATCTTCTATTCGGATCCATTTAGACCGACCTGCTTACCCTGACTATCTGTCTTCCTTTGACGCCTTCTTTTGTATCGGATTCTGATCGACTTTGTGATGCAGGTGAGGAGGGTTTTCTACCCCACGTGGTGTTACTGTTGTGCTGAGACCGGTGATTTCTAGACTCAAACTTTACCCACTTGTTTTAGGTTGCGAGGAGAGTGCGGGAGCATTTTGTCACATATACACATATACTCCTGCTCGATAAAGTCAATGCTCGACTCGGCTCAGCTCGTTTGCAGCCCTAGCGCAGACCTCCTCTTGTTCGAAGCGGGGGTTTGAAATCAAACCCCTCATCCAGTAGACCTCGCATCGCGGTCGACCACCTGTCGCCAAGCAGACTTCGCACCGTCGCTTAGGTCGACAGTCCATCGTCGAGCGGACCACAGCATGTCGTCCAGCGCGCCCAGGCCCCTCGACTGATGGAGGCTCCAGACCTTGCCAGACCCGTGAGCGCGAAGCAAGTCGCGGCCGCAGAGGGCCTAGTTGTCACAGGCCCGCAGACCGTGGAAGTGACGACCCATATTTTGAATTTTGAGTTGTTCTCGAAGCCATATTTATTGGAATTCGTGTCTCTTGATTTTTATCTTAGAGGGTGCCACTCCAAGAATCAACGTGTAAATAGTTTTATTAGAGTTCTTTCTCCATTTTTCCTTTTCGCTGGTACTTGAATTATTGGAGCCAAATACATTGGAATTGACAGCTTACAATCGGGTCAGGAATTGCAAGAGTTCAAGAATGGTCGTGCTATTCACGGTATTTTTGAAATGACGATTCTGACATGCGCAGTTCCCCAGGTCACGTTATTCACAGTATTTAATGCTGACATAATGGTCAGGTGCAATGAACTATTCTTGTACAAGTCAAAGTAGTTCGTTCAATAATGGGAATGCTAGATGATATAACACCAAAAATAGCTCGGTGAACCGTTTGATTGGTTAGCTCTGTTATGGTCGATTCAAAGGAGCTTAGCCTGTTTTCAGCATACAACCTTATCAAGGAGCTCACTCAGGTAGCTCACGATACAAGTTGGCCCAAGTTAGAGAGCTCGAATATTGAGCAAGACCTCGTGATCCAAAGGTCGTGGCTCTAGAGGTCATGGTTACGATCTAGTTACAAAGCACAACAGGTAGGCGGGTAGGTCATTTAGGCGACATATAGGACTTAAGAGTCGTATGGTAAGAGAGAAAAAAAATCATTTTGAGTAGAAAGTGTATCTTGCTAAAGAGTCTGAGATTTTAGAGACGTGGGAGGTTAAAAAGTTAATACTAGAAGATCTCTTTCCTAACCGAGACGTTCTCATGAGCAGATACTGAAGTGAGCGTCGAAGGTTTTCCGCCGAGACCTCTCCTCGACGTTTTGCTAGTCATCGAAGCTCGAAGTCGACGTCCGTTTCGTAGTCCTCCGGTCCAATCCGATTCAAGGAGAAGTTGCACATCAAGACACATTATATATCTATATAGACTATATATAACATACTATCAAACTACAGAAACATTGAAGCAATTAATTATAACATATCAATTCAAACAACAAACAACCGTAACATAAATATTCATAAAAAAATTTAATAATCAATAGAATCCTCCACTCATCTCAAAGCCAAACCAACAACCACAACCAAGTAGAGAAATGGTCGGGTGGGGGGAAACATGAATGCAGGCTTACAATTTTAATTTCAAGTGGTCTCTGTCTCAATTGGTTGAAACCAACATGTTCTTCAGGTAATGTTCCAAACAGATGCTCGCTTCAAGAAAAAATAAATAAAGAAAAAAGCTAAAATGAACCAAGTTATTGCATCAACAATGTCTCTTTGACGATTTCCAGCTCATCATCTTGTGGCAACGCAAAAACGACCCCATGTCCTCAACCTTCACCTTGACCTTATCAGGCCTCACCCCCAACAATTCAAGCAGGACATAATCACTCCACTCCCGTCTTTTCTAAAACCACAGTCAGGGATGCCTAAACAGGCTGCTGCTCGGGAACGTGGGATCGAGCTTGAGAAACTTGAGTTGGAGCCATTGGAAAAGCTTGACGAGCTGGAGCCATTGTAAGAGCTAGATTTCTGGTCCTGAGTGAAGTGGACGACTTTGTCACGGCCCACGTAAATGCCTAGAACATACAATGGTTTTGATTAATAGTGTTAGAGTAGAATACCCGGCGTTCCAATCTGATTAGATTTGTTTCTACTTTTAAAGACAATTTATTGGAAATTATATTATTTTGAGGCATAGTTATCTTATGTATTTGCACATATGATAAAGTCCTTAGGTCATTATTATCTATGAGGCATGGTTGCGCATATGATGGCAATCATGGAACATGTCTTTACAGCTGTGATCTTAAATAAGTTCCAAGTCGATGGGTGTTTCGAGACAGGACATCGAATAACCCGGTAAGACTTGTGCATATGATGTATACTCATTAGATGAGAATGTTGCATTCCATCAATATTAGCGTGTGGACGCAAATGCATATATGCGGGTGCTTGTTGGAGAACAAGTTCACTGAACATGGTCCGATGAAAATTCTTAACTGGAAGTTTTAACTGTCAAATAAGAATTTTCATGTTGCGATAGTACATGACTAATCCTATGACTTGAGGCACGCTAGTAATATTGTGCATGTTGTGCTTTACTTTGATTTATCCTTTGATTGTTGGACAATCATAAAAGGGATATTTTGGGTACTGTATTAATATGTATGGAGGTCTATCTGTGGCCAACAAAGAATTCGACACTTATGTGGATAAGTGAATTTCCTATATTTTTCATAGTTTGTGATTCAAAGACCTTGGCCAAAGCGAGATGAATATGGATTCATAAAGGAATCACTAAACTTGAAATAGAATCATAGTTATTAAATCAATTGGGCTTCCACTTATAAATCCATGCCCAAGATTTAATCGGAAAACTAGTTGTCGAAAGGATTTTACACGTATGCACTTGCAATTGAAAAGGTTTACTCGCTATTTCACTTAACACTAGATGATCATGCTACTTGCTAGGTGTTACCATGATTTGTGGGTTCTTGAAATTAAGGAGTTAATTTCAAGAATATAAATTAATTAGATTAATTTAAATTACAAACGAGTTGTAAACCCACTACTAGTGTTAATCGTGAACCTAAAAGGGTCACACCAAATTTCGGATGATGACAATTTTGAAATTGGTATTTCCAATAGTTGGATTAATTGACAAGACTTAATTAAATAATTTGATTATTTAATTAAATTCTAATTTTGATTAGATGTCAATTAAAAATTAATCAATTGGATTAATTAATTAGGCTTTGGATATTAATTAAGTAGTTATTGGAATTACTAAATTAATAGTTGGATTTAAAGTTGGACTTTAAAATTCAAATCCAAATATTAATATGATTATGTATTAAAAGCCTACATAAAAGAGGAGATTTTATTTTTATGGGAGATAAGATTTTGACTAATTAATTTTAAAAATTAGTTTCATAAATTATATGTCATTATCTTTAATTAATCTTTAATTAAGATTAAAGATCAAAATTAAAAATGCTTGCCAATTGTTGGTCAACTAATGCACATGTATTTGAACATGTCATTTAATGAAAGTTGGTGCATTAGGTGAGACATCACACTAATCGTACACACACACACACACACACATATATATATATATATATATATATATATATATGACTAGTTGGATCACGCCATGCACGCTCGACGGACTCAAATTTAGTCTAACTCCAATGTCTGTTCAACGCGTCCACTCCAATGTCTTTCAGTTGAAAGACGTGTGCCACGACACCCTAAACACCTGCACAACAATATACCATCACACAACAGTCAACACAAATGCAACACAGACACCACAACCAAACATTTTAACACAGGACTCTCGGTTGTGCACGCAGAGCCAGCCCGAGTTTAGTCTTTAATTGTGAAATGTTTATGAGCTTTTTGTTGGCTACAAAAATTGCAGCTTAAAATGTATCTAACCTTATACATATATTTGTCTAACCAGTACAGATACACATATTTGGCAGTTCACCATTAAATCTTAGAAGTTGCATCCAAAAGCATGAGATCACACACACACACACGTTCATGATATTGAATAAATTTCATTTCATTAGAGGAATGTGTTACATTTCTTTACTCCAAAAAGTATTTCCAACACCACTTGAAGAGCTGTAGACAAACAATAACATCAAAGTGATTCTAGTTAAAAAGAAAAGCTCACTAAGTTTTTTTAAGAATTTCCTCAACAATCCACACAAAGTCAGATCGACATAGTAAATGGTTTCTTTCAAACCTTATACAATACTCGTGGTATCCAAAATGGCGCCGAAGCTCTATTGGAAACCGAAATTGCTGATATGTAAAGTTCAAGAGCACTATAACTCAATTGACTGAGATGTGGGTAGAAAAGCAAGACCCAATGACTCCAACACACAATTTGGTTGGCGCTTCTCAGGCCGCAACGATGGCAGAGCCATTCTCGTGACTCTTACAACTCTACAGTTGCTCTCCCCATTATTAAGAGCAAAAATACTACATAAAAAACTGATTTTGGAAAAGTACCAAAAAAAAGAAGAAATCATACCCCTTTGTTTTTAAGCAAAACCAAAATCTCAATGTTTGTTCTGACATTCTCATTGATTACCGCTGGATCGACCGCGTACAGACAGACCTTATCACCGCCATGTATGTCGGTGGAAGGTTGTCGTCCACTTTTACTCTAATAAACTTCGATTCTTGAGACCAAAAGAAAAAAAAAAATGAAAATTAAAGAAACCCACATCCAAACTCTCAGTAGTTCTATCACAATTCACAACCACTACCACAACATCTTGGTGTCCATTCTGTGAATAAATCTTCATATGAATAATATGAAACCAAATCTTCCGCAACAACAATTATCAAAACACCCAATTGCTCTCTAAAACACAGTTATCAGGTATTTCAAACACAAGAATGTGGTGAGAGAAACAAAATAAATGAAGCAGCCAAAGAAAAAAAAGCATGAATTCAAAAGAACTATACTGTGAAGCAGTTTGTTCTCACCTTCACAATCGGATTCTTCTTGATGAATATTGCGACGACACAGTGAATCAGCGACAGAGGAACTAAAATTCGTTGTCGTCCTCGCCGGAGCAGCGAAGCAGATGACGTCGAAGAAATCCCATAGGGATTCGACAGCGACACGCCTGTTGCAGCGGCAACACTATTATTGAGTGGAATCGAGGCCCCGATTCGGAATGAGATTGGGTTCAGGCAGGGGAACTGAAGCTTTTCATTTGAGCCACAAAACACAATCAAAAAACCATTTACAACACCACAGAATCTTCACCAAGATAGAAATGAAAACATTTTATGAGCTTTGCACTCTAAAAAACTCAAGTTTCAAGATTCTGCGATAAAATAACGCATCGCCGGGACACCAAAGTCATGTCAAGCATAGTGAACTCCTTATCCCCTATGCGATCTCGTCTCTAATTCAGAAAGTGAAAAAATCTGAACATACCTGGGAAAAGAAACAGACGGCGAGCATTGGGTTCAGGCCGGGAACTGGTTGAAGGGATTTCGGCCATGGAGGAGGAAAAAACCGATTGATTAGGAATTTCGGTCCGTCCGCGGAGGTTAGATTTTAGAATGGAGAGCATAACATGGTCCTTCAATCTCAGGGTCCTCCTTAAATTTCTTTAGTCGGTGTCTCTACTTAGTCGGTGCAGGTAGCGTGCGAGTAAAAATGGCAAAAGTGTTTGTCAGACGCAGGCGTCTTCTTTCAATCTCAAGGTCCTTCTTCAGCTTCTTTAGTTGGTGTAGGTAGCGTGCGAGAAAAACTGGGAAAAGTGGTTGTCAGAGGCAGACGTGCAGGTCAACACGAAAAAGGTAATAGTGTAATGACTACTGTACCACAAGAAGAACAACGAATTATTAAAAAAAAAACATGGACATTTTGAACATTTCACAAAGGACAGTCTCCCAATATTGACCCCAAAAAGCAGCGTAAAGTGACTCGCCCTTCGAAGTCCAATGCCGTGGCCACGTTTTGTCAATTAAATGCAATATCTAGTCAATGGTAAGAGGTGGAGTGAAATGGCAAAAATGTAAATTAAGTTGGACACATGTCAGTTTTTTAAACACATTAAATTGGACACTTGTCAGCATTTTAAGACCACTAACTCTTTCATATATAGATAAGAGAGATATATAATTGTGACAAGAAAAACCACCTCATCATTATATTATAAAATGAGTTTTTGGTGAGATGTGTAATGTCTTGAACATTAAATATATGTACATGTTGATGTACAAAGAAAAGGAACTTACGAGACTTGATCTTAGAACAAATTTTTCATACAATTTTTCAAGACAAGTACCTCTCTCATTCTTACAAGAATTGTTCTTGAAGAAAATAGAATAAAAATATTTCCTCTTTTATTTGATTCCAAAATATCAATTCAATTCCGGAAAATTTCTACTAGCGAAGAAATTGTTTTCGGAGTCAGAATCCAAATGGGTGGACTTGATTAGAGGGGAGACACTTGGATCCCTTATGGAGTAAGAAGACGGTGATAGCCACATAACCGGGAATTGATTTTCACTTCATCGTCGCTATTTGAAAAAAATTAAAGGTAATTTTTGAAATTCTCTACAAATCAAAACTCGTATTTTTACGTGATTTTAAAAGGTGCCGATCATTTTATTCGCTATATATATATACTTACCGATTAATTATTTATTTGATAAATGATAATTATATTGTATAATTTACGCTGCTATTTTAATCCGTACAGTATAGCGAATCCAACAAAATGATTGTCAAACAACAATGTTATGGATAGATGATCACAATGGTACTTGTTAGTTTTAAAACATAAAATTAACGATGTTTCCTTTATTTTACCATAATCGGGGGCAATTTGCATACAAGATGAAGGAGATAGTTGTAGCTTCAAAACATAATTGTTTTTCCTTTTAACCCTTAATTGATCCTAATGACAGAAAGAGTCAAGAGATCCTCCTCCACATAAAATCTGATACAAAAATATTATAATTGACAACATGGCTACTACATATCGGTTTTCAGCATCATCATCAACAGACAAAAATATATGAACACGCATGAAAGTAATTTT